AGCGAGCAGAATCTTCCTTCCTTCCTCTTGCAGAGGCGCTCGGAAACCCTCCGTAAAAAGGACCAGCAGCACGTCCTCCCAAGTTTGTCTGACCTCTCAAGAGCAAGTTTAGGTACCGCACGAGCCTCATGGCTTAGCGAGCCTGGACTCGCTCGTAGGCTGCTGGAGCTACCGCAGTTCTCTTGCCCATAACCTAAAATGTAAACTCCAATAACACCTGTGACTTACTAGGCACAGTCGTCTTCTGGAAACAGACAATCCCACACCGACTTCAGCCATAGTTCCGTCTACCACGGTCTCTGGCATGGATTCCAATGGATGCTTTTTGAGAAAGCAGGATAATTTTTACACTAGAGACGTTTTCCTTTAACCCAAGGAATGCACACTCAATACTCTATCACGTTAATGATCCATTATGGATTTATGATTCGTGAATTAATCTAACATCATCTTACATTGTCTTGACATGTTGACTTTATTGAAGTCCTAGGAAATAAAGTTCTCCTATCCCTTCAAGTGCCCCTGTATTGAGTGTGACATCAAATGCCAGCCGGATTCTTTGCGTTGCGTCCAAGGATCTACTGAGTATCGTTAAGATACTTCAGGTTAAAGATACTTCAGGTTAAACATAAGCTTGGTGCCCATAAACTGGTGGTTTCTACCAAAACTCCTGGGGTCTCAAGAGGTCCTTTGGCCTGGAATGTTTTCCTGAACCTAGGGCCAGACATGAGAGACACCTGTAGTGTTTCCCTGAGATTGGCATTGTCTCTAAAGAGCAGACACTTTTGCACGGGTTAGCTGCTGTGAGCGACATAAGAATGAAAGGCATCGGGTTCTCAACGGGTTTGTAATCTAGCAAGAGAGATCAAACTAAGATTTAGGAAAGAGTGAACACAAAATACTTCCTACCTCCCAGCCTCAGGCTTCTCTTCTGGCAAATGAGGGGATTCAAATAGATCCCTAATAATTGCATCCCTGCCCCAGAGCTTATAAAATGTTTTCATATTTTTCTTGACTGTTGTCCAACAACCTTACAAGGTCGGGATTCCATAGGTGAGGAAAGGGACTAAGACGTTAAGCTACTCAACTGAGGTTCACCAACGGGTGGCGCCATGGACTTGACCCAGGTAGGAAGGTCTCCAATTCTCCCACCGTGATGCAAAAGACAGTGAACCACTCTAGGGAACTGGATTCTGTGATTCTGGATTGGAATCACAACATTCTGTTGATTCTGAGTGCTGTGTGTGCAGTGTTCCCTGCGGGTGTTTACTATAATGACTAGAAATCATGCAAAAGCAGCTGCCTTTCAAAAAGATGGAATCAGGGGCACCTGGGTGGCTCAGTCGGGTGAGCGTCTGACTTCCGCTCAGGTCATGACCTCATGGTAACGAGAGTTCGAGCCCCGCATCGGGCTCTGTGCTGACAGCTCGGAGCCTGGAGCCTGCTTCCTATCCTGTGTCTCCCTCTCTCTCTGCCCCTCCCCCACTCGCCCTCTCTCTCTCAAAAATAAATGGTAAACATTAAAAAAGAAGACAAAACAAATAAAATGGATTTACTCCAAGGGATTATTCGACTTAGAAAAAAAAAAAAAAAAAAAAAGATGGAATTAACCTGTGGTTGACTACAAGGAACTAACCCAGATGTGTCTTTTCAAAGTCAAAACCCATGTGGTCCAAAGAAGGTTCTAGAGTACTTTCTGTTTTCCATGTACGTATACAGATTGGGCTAATCACCTACAAGCCAATAGCAGAAGGTCTTTCTGTGAAAGACAACTGGAGATTGTTGCGCTTTGGTGTGGGTAACGGGGGGCTTGAGGAATGTGAGGGACCTTCCTATCACCCATGTGAAGGTTTCACTCTGTCAGTGTTGGAAAGCCTGTCCTCATCTTGGTCATCCTCCCTGCACTTAAATGGGAGAAGGACAACGTCCTCTTCTCCCACGTTTCTGCAGGCTCCAGGTTTCAGCAGCAACAAAGTCTAGATGCTTCTCTGCTCAGCGAACAGCCCTGGCACCGGTCCAGAGGGCTACCTGCTCTGTGCGGAGGGAAGCAGGAGCGTGGGTGGGCAGGAAAAGCGAGGTCAGCTTTCAGAACAGTCAGCCGTGTCTGCTGAGCTGGCTATCCTGTGAGCTGCAGAATATTTATGGCAGGGAGATGTCCGTAATGGGAGACACTCAGTCTGGCCAGACGCCGATCGCCTAGCCCAGGGCATCAGGATGACACAGTCATGACACGGGGGCACCGATTCACAGCCAGGCACCAAATCTCTTTATCCCAGACAGATTCCCTTTGATCCCTTTATCGACTAGGCCGAAATGCACGGATTAGCCTGTTCTGGAGTCGGAAAGAAGCATTCGAATTTACCCAGGAAATTCTCAAGTCGGTGGCTTGTGTGAATCATCCTTGCATCGGCCTTGCCCACGGGCTGGACTGTGAGCCCTCCTGTGCTCTCTCTCACCCCCGCACTCACCTCCCCGGCTGACACTGGGTGGTTCACCCGCCCGACCCCGTAAAGACCACGGGACCGGAACCTGGGGTTCTAGCCCAACGCGGGAGCCCCACCGACACCTAGCACAGTGTCCAGCACTTGGTTAGAGCTTAATAAACATCTGTGATGGGGCAGGACATTCTTTTTCAGCAGACACGGAAGAAGAGGAGGAGCAACACTAATCAGGCACAAGTAAAAAAAAAAAAAAAATCATCAAAAACCCTTAATCTTGCTTTCAAGCAGCATCTTTACCCTGCCCACCCACCCCATACAAACTTTCCTAACACTTTGACTATTTTCTAGGAAAGCACCAAGGCCCAATCCCTCATCCTTGCTCATTAGTGCTGTGCAGCAGCTGAATCTTCTAACTAGCACCTGATATATGTCACAAGTGCTCTGGGGCCCAGGAAGGTGTAACATGAGTCGTCTGTGTAACATGAGTATGTGCCTCACACAACTCAGGGTGTGTTGAAAATACGACCTGAGTACAAGAATGTGCACCCGAGCATTTTATTTATAGTAGCGAAAACTGAAACTCTAATAATTGGTGCTTGGGTATATAAATTAGGCCACACTCAGATAATGGATCATATTTATATAATGGCATACTATGCTACCATTAAGGATCCTATTCTAGAAAAAAATATATAATGGCATGGGAAAATGCACCCAGTAATATTAAGCGAAAAGCAGATCACAGAATTAAACATAATCACAATTGTATAAATTGGGCTTGTATAAAATCCTGGAAGGAAACATACCCAACAGTTATATAGTCCATTTCTGGGTGATGTTGATTTTTAGTCTTATTTATACTTGTTTGTATTTTTTGTATGTTATTTTATAGGAAACATAATACTTTTTTATTAGTTTTCAACATAATATATTTAAAATCTCGAACAGAAAAGGTATGTTACTCAACAGCGGAAAGAGGCTACTCTGTTCCCGCCTTCCATGGTTATGTTCAAGCGTTAGATGATAAAGCCCCATCCAGGGGGCCGCTGGCTCGGCATCAGATTTTTATACTCACAATCCAGAAAATTCCACCCCAAAGTAAAGTGGCAGGTAGGTCCCTGCAGGTCAACACAGGAGTGATTTTCTTTGGTATGTCGGGTCTGGAAAGGAGCCATATCTGGGAAAGATGTTGATGGGACACTGCTCTGGGGTAAAGCTGGGGGAAAGTTAGAAGTGGCAAGCCAGTGCTGGCTCCGTCCCCAACTGTGTGGCCGCAGGTCATTTGATTTCTCTATGCATTGTGTTCCCCGTCTATAAAAGGAAGATCTAACATCCGTCCTGCCCGCTCACAGGTCTACTGTGAGGTTAAATAAACTGATGTGCGCCCCATATTTTGCAAACTACAAAGCACCCAGTAAATGGCAGTCTGGCGATCCAAGAATGCTAACTTCTTAAGATAAGGATCCAGGCTCCCCACTTTCCTTCAAGATATCAAGACAAGCCATCTATACTCCCTCTTCCACTCTAGAAAAGTCACCAGGAATTTGATCAGCCACATTTAACGCATTTTATGTTCCCCCGTACCTTTGCCCCACGTAACAAAACCATACTGTGTTCTCTCAACTTGTTTCTTTTTTTTCCCCTGGGGACATGGTCAGATTGGCTTTCCCTGCCTCTGCTGAGGGAAGGTGAGGCCAAAAGCCTGGATTCTTGCCACTGGAATGTGGACGAAGTTACCTATGTCCCTTCCAGGCTGGGTCCCTCAAGTCCCCCCATGAGATTCTCCACAATCTCTCTCTTCCCTCATTCCTTGGCTGCTTGTACAAGATCTAGTGTCAGACTCTGAGGCCCCTGGAAGATGGTGACATGGAAACGAGTGGAAGGCCAGGCACCAAACACCCGATACAACAGGGCCATGAGTAAGAAATAACCTGGGATCATTTGTTACACCAGTGAGATCTCCTGACTAATACACTCTGTGACCATGGCCACCCCTCCAATCCACAGGGACTTCAATGCTTTCTGCTGCTTGCCACATGACTGATGCAGGGGACACAGAGAACACATATGGCAAACCCAACCCTCATCCAACAGAAAACTCACCCAAGAAAAGTTAAGACAATTTTTTAAGATCCCTTGGCAGATTTAGGACCTGCTTCCTTAATTTCTATAGGGAAACTCAGGAGCATGTGCTAATTTAAGCAACTGAAAAAGAGAAAATAAGAAAACTGAAAGACACTTGGTAACCTAATCCCAACCGTATTTAAAGTGAGTTGCAGATAGAAAAGGGTTATGGTCCAACAAGGCAGAAGGGGTTAGGAAGGGAGTCTACACCTTTTTTAGAGGGTCCAGACATTGGAAGCAGAGCGCTACCATGGATCACTGGCCCCTCATATGTTTCATCTTTATTTAGCAATGGCCAGTGGGGGGGCCACATGGAAACATTGGGCTCTGAGTTGGGAAGTCCCCAGAAGGAAAAGAGCAAAGACAGGAAGTGCAACCCACTTCTCTGCATGGACTCCAACCAACCCTGTTCTAACTTGCCCAGAGGCTACTTACCTGGTATGGGTACAGGGTGACCCCGTTGGTTCTCGACAGGGACCAGGTGCCATCCAGGTACTGGTGAGCCTGAATGGCCACTGAGTTGAGGATGTTCCCATTGCTGGGACTGGTGGCCATCTGAAGGCTGACCTTGGCCTGGTGGGTTGGGGACCCACTCTTCTTCTCGGCCCCGTTGCTGACCCCGAGGCTGTTGGGTTTGCTGCTGTGCTTGTTGGTGACGAAAGCCGTGTAGTTGGGGGAGGCATAGGAGGCAGGCACAAAGGCCCAATCTCTGGGCTGCTGCAGCCCACCCATGTGCCGGGACCCCACCAGGGTGGGCATGTTGGAGAGGGCTGGGGGCGAGCCAGGCGAGCCATCATAATGCTCACTGCCAGCTGCCTGTTCCAAGGTCACCACCATCTGGATGGCCTCCTGCTTCAGCTGGTTCAGGTGTGTGGCACAAATGTCACAGCGGTTGTCCTTGTCATTCCATGCCTTCCGGATGGTGTTGGGGACCTGGAGCTTGTCGTGAATCACGGCCGAGAAAGCAGGGTCCTGGAGAGCACACAAGCAAAACAAAACAGGAGAACCTGTAACTCAAGGCTGGTACGTGCAATTCAGATGTCTGGCTTAGGAGTTAAGCCCTAGATGTATTCAGAGTCTGACTGTCTGATAGACCTCCAACAGACGTGAGCAGCCGGGCTGGCAGAAAAGCCTCTAGTGCACAAACACCTTTGATACATAGGAGATTATTATGGTGGAGACATTAGGAATAATTAAAAACAAAAAGATTTCTAAGCATCCTCCTCACCAGGATGGCCAAAGAACATTCCAGATTCTTCTCCACGTGTCCACTGAAGAATTACAGGGAGTGAGGGGTGAGTGCCGTCAGCCCCGATTGATGCGCATGGTCCCCTGGCCCCCCGCAGGCCATGGAACGCTGGTGATTGATGGAGATTCTATTCTAAGAAAGTCTTGGCCTCATTAGTGCTGTGTGCTTAGTGCCATTGGAAGGAAACCAAACCGAACAGATTCCGGACCAGAAGCCCAGCAGCCCCTGCAGATTCCCCGTTGACCATCTGCTCCGTGGCAAGCTGGATACACGTGTTTGATATCCTCACCAATTCAAAGAAAAATACCTCCATGACAAGCAGTCCAAGACACCTGTCCCCACAAGCATCATCTAAAACTACTATTCAAAACTCTTTAGCTCGGAAACCCTTGCCTAAAACAAATCAGGGGGTGTCTAGGTGGCTCAGTCGGTTGAGTGTCTGACTCTTGATGGCCACTCAGGTCATGATCTCACGGTTCGTGAGACCGAGCACCACACTGAGCTCTGTGCTGACAGCACAGAGCCTGCTTGGGATTCTCTCTCTCTCTCCCTCTCCACCCCTCTCCTACTGGCACACATACACGCTCGCTCTCTCTCTCTCAAAACAAATAAAAGTTTAAAAGAAATCAGAAAATGAAGTTAATGAGGATGATTTCTTTCATTCACTTTATGTTCATTTTTATAGGAAAACAGGATTTCGCAGAGAAATAAGCATGAGGGGTGTTAACCGTTTACCAGAATATTTGAGTTCTAATTCCAGTTCTGCTACTAACTAGCCGTGTGACTTTGGACAAGCTAATTGGCCTCACTGAGCCCCTCGTCTGTCACCAGAGGCCATGGCCGATCCTTGCCGTAAGATCCTTCCAGCTCCGTGACTCTGGCCGTGGAGAAATCAGGACAAGAGAGTATGGTACGTGTATATACAGACAGAGCCATATGTCATTTCGGGGGCCTGACTGAACTTTTGAGATCCAAAATTTGCTGCAAATAATTGATGAGGCTCATTTTCCTCTAGGACATTAGAAGAAAAGTCTGCCCTTCTGAAACTTACTGTCTGGTTTCATGGGAAAGGGGGGGGCCCCCCCGGAGTATTGGGGGGGGCTTGATCTGGGGTAAAAAGGGCCCTGGGGGGGGGGGCGCCTGGGTGGGCAGGAAGAAAGATCGGCGGTGGGAGAGATGTTCTTAATTACGATCTGTCTTGATTATGTGCTATAGCGTTTTGTTTTCCCTGTTTAACTACCCTGAAAAGCTCCTCAGCAGGCGCTGATTAACTGATTAATAAATCAAGAGGCCCCTTTACACGGCAGCAGCAAGGGGTGGCTCAGGAGGCAGAAACTCAAGACAGTCACCTAAAATGATGGGAAATAATAAGAGGTCAAGGTTGATCGAGTCCGGTTGACAAAGTGCTACGAGCCATATGAGACCTGCCTGGTGGCATCCTTCCCGGTGACAGCTGCTCTGTCCAGAGTCAGATCACAACTCCGAGCATGTGGGACCCCCGGTGGGCTAAAGGACCCCTCAGGGACCATTCTGGAGCAGGCTGTCGCTTCGGTGTTCAGATAAGGAAACTGAGCTCCAAAAAGGTTAGTAGCTTGGACTACACCCAGACGCCTCAAACCCTAGGTCGTGCTTTTCAGAGCCGAAGAGTCATATTCACCGATGGACTCATGGGGTTTTTTGCAGTTTTCACCTCACTCATCTAGGCAATAGTCATTTATTCAAAAGAAATTTATTTGAGCCCCCATCTGTGCCCAGACACAGGTTCCTGCTTTTTCATACAACATTACAAAATGAGCATTTTCCTGGGGCGCCTGGGTGGCGCAGTCGGTTAGGCGTCCGACTTCAGCCAGGTCACGATCTCGCGGTCCGGGAGTTCGAGCCCCGCGTCAGGCTCTGGGCTGATGGCTCAGAGCCTGGAGCCTGTTTCCGATTCTGTGTCTCCCTCTCTCTCTGCCCCTCCCCCGTTCATGCTCTGTCTCTCTCTGTCCCCAAAATAAATAAACGTTGAAAAAAAAAAATTAAAAAAAAAAATGAGCATTTTCCCTTATCAATACATGTCATTTGAAAATGTGATTTTTTAATGACCAGGCCGTATTTTATCCTTTCGTTGTTTCAAGGTCATTTATTTATCCCCACGTTCTACTACGTAACCAGAGACAGCGTAAGAAATCAGAGACGGGCATTCAAAAGCAACCCGCAACCCATATAGCTCATGCTTTCAAGATGCCAAACTATTTGGTTTCAGGAAGCCTCAAACGAATGGCTGATTTAGAACGTTTGTGTTAATCCAATCATCAGGAAGAGGCGTCACAGTGAGGAGGCAGATAGAAGTCCGGTCCCGTCCGCACTTCTAGATCCCTATAGAATCTAGATTTAAGTCTGACATCTGCAGCTCAGGCAGGGGGTCACATCCATGCTCCAGAAATGGCATAAGCCTGCTTCTAGGGGTTCCTTTCTCCTTTTCTTCTTGTCTTGTTTTGTTTTTCAATATTTATTTTGAGAGAGAGAGAGAGAGAGAGAGAGTGTGTGGGTGTGCGCGCGCGTGCGTGAGCGGGGAGGGACAGAGAGAATCCCAAGCAGGCTCCACGAGGTCAGCACAGAGCCGGATGCGGGGCACGATCTCATGAACCGCGAGATCATGACCCGAGCTCGACAGACTAAGCCACCCAGGTGCCCCCTTCTTGGTTTTTACTGCTCTCCCTTGAAGCAGTACCGTCTTCACTCAGCTCACTGCTGTTTTGCCGTTCAACGTCTAACATGTAACAAAGAACATCCGTTGGCCAGGCCCTGCGCTAGGTTGGGGACCTCAGGATGCGTGAAAACAATTCCTGTCTCCCGCAAGTTCACAGTCCAGGGGACCTTCCTGGTTCCTGGATGCCACGACCCTTTGCTGCCACCTCCAGTGCAGGACCAATCAACACACATGGGACCCACGGAATTTCAGTGCTCCCCACCTGGTTCCAGAGGCGTCAACAAAACCAGCCGTGAGTGCTGCAGCAAAGCCCTCTATCAGTACAGTGCACATGACCACAGACACCCAGAAGCAGCAAAGAGCCTCTGCTGTCTCCTCCGGAGGAAAGCGGAGATCGACTCTTCAACGAGATACAATTGCTGGCTGATGTCAGAGGCGTTCCCTAAATTAAGCCACCCTTGATCTGAAACCCTATGCGGGTGCTTATCAGCAAAAGGCCTCAGTTAGTTGGGGAGCCTGGGTGGCTCAGTCACTTAAGCGTCTGACTCCTGATTTTGGCTCAGGTCATGATCTCACAGTTGAGAAACGGAGCCCCACGTTGAGCTCTGTGCTGACAAGCGGGGAGCCTACTTGAAATTCTATCTCTGCCCTCCCCCCACCTGTGCTCTCTCTCTCTCAAAATAAATAAGCAAACATTTTTTTAAAAAAGCCCCAATTAGTCAAGAGATATAGCTTGTGGAAACTAAAACCCTTCGCAAGGGTTTGTCCATACATTATAAATATTTTATTTTTTTTTTTTTAATTTTTTTTTCAACATTTATTTATTTTTGGGACAGAGAGAGACAGAGCATGAACGGGGGAGGGGCAGAGAGAGAGGGAGACACAGAATCGGAAACAGGCTCCAGGCTCCGAGCCATCAGCCCAGAGCCCGACGCGGGGCTCGAACTCACGGACCGCGAGATCGTGACCTGGCTGAAGTCGGACGCTCAACCGACTGCGCCACCCAGGCGCCCCAGTACATTATAAATATTTTAGCGCAACTCAAAACTTCAAAGGGGAATGGTCAACAGACACGGCTTTCTGTACGCGCTGGGGAAAAGATGCTGCTCGGGGGAGAGGGGTCCTAAACAGGAAGAAAAGAGAAAAGGAGGCTTCAGAGCCATGGAAGGCTCACACACGCCAATCTTTTCTGTCACGAGCACAAAAAGGTTTGCAGTGGCCCCGGGAGATGAGCTACGGCAGCGCCCTTGGGGTCAGCTTGCGCCCGAAGAAACCTGGACCCCGGGAAGGAATGAATTAAGCCCCACAGTCTGGCTTGCTGCCTAGCCCCTGGGTTTCAAAGACATCCCTACAGCTAGTCCTCGTTCACCCTGTGAGCTCGGGAAACAATCGCCTGGGAACAGCGGGAACCCTGCACAAGCTGAATCTCTATCTTGAACGTCCTAATTTTCACTTCAGCACGTACGAAAAGTAGGCTATTGGTATTTGGGCGACATTCGCATCCTCACCTTTGAAGGTGAAGGTTCGGTGCCCCAAACATCCTCATCTTTCAAAAATAGTAACAAAATGATTTCTCCTGCACATCTGCCATGGGGAGGAATTCAAGAAAACACTTGGGCGACTGGTAACGTTCCTTAGGAGGAGGGTTAGGGCAAATACGTGCCCAACTTCTCACTGCCAGAAAGGAACACAGAAAACTCTGGAAGATGGTTCTCCAACCCCTTTACAGCTCTACTTCTTCTAGGGGCGTTTTGGGAAAAGGGGCGTCCTAACACATCCCCTAAGCATGTCTTAGACTGATGACTTTCTTTAGGTTGACCTCCCCACTGTCTTCTGGTAGACTGATCTAAAAAATTATGATGAAATCTTCCCCAGGCAATGGCATCCAAGCCCATGGCTTCAATAGCCATCTATATCCTGGTGACTGGGAATTCGCTCTTTTTGTCTCTGCTGGTCTTTCTCCTGAACTCCAAAGCCCTTATATCCCATACCCCCCTGGAAAACATCACCCCAATAAATACTCTTCAAACT